AACAATTAATTTATCGACCGAAAAATTGTCGAGTAACATTTGACTCGGAGATATCAAAAAATCGACAAATTCGGTAATCAAAGCAAGGCAATGTGAGTTGAAGGCGGATTGTGACGACTTGACCAGAGTGCATATGGCGGTTCTGTATGTATGGCGCGCACGCACCATGTGAGGAATATCTTCACAGTTGCAAGCGGGGTGAAATCGATCAGTCGAAGAGACCTAGTGTAAAAAGAACGAAAATCCAAGCAACTAAAAAACAGTAAGAGCACTCACCGATAGTGGTTCTAATTTCGACTGAATTATACCAATCGGTGGTACTTGACGCTTGGTCAGACGGATCGAGGGATCCAAGGCAGCACCGGAACAGGACCCAGAAACCCCGAGTGCTCCAGAAGCAGAAAACAGACGTCGGTGGGTCTGATGAGGCTTCCTTTTTACACTTTGGACAGCTGGGTTTATAGCATCCGACAATCTTTGTACTCGACGACGTTCAGAGGCATCCATGGCACGCATCTGACGAGCAGGGGTACGACCTGTGTTCACTTGGTCGACCAACTGCGTGGGTGAAGTATGCACCGAGCGAAGTTGGTGTGGGACGACATGCAGGTAAGTAGTTGAGGGTCGACGTTCACTAGGTAGTTCAGATGGTGGAGAAGTAGGAGGACTGGCAAAATGTCGACGAAGATACTCTGGATGAGAACGCATTCGTCTGTGGCCCAAAGCCCGTGGGTTGTTATTACTGATATCTGTGTGGCTGGAATTATCCGGTCTATGAAAAGTAAAAATAGACATGCATAATAAAAAGAACATCTAATAGAACGTGACTAGCAACTGAATTAGCAAACAATTCCATCCACCAGGATCGAAACATTGTTACCAATATCTTGCGCTTTGCTGCTTGTGCGTGACCAAAATTACCTAATTTCATCAATCCGATTTTATCCAGAATCTCGAGTGCATTCATTAAATACGGAGCTCTAAGCTCTTACATTTAAGGTACCAGTTATTGCTCTTTGCAATAGCTCAAATGAACCCACCAACGATTCAGTGGGTTCTAGACAATCCATGCTGTTCACAAACAAAGAGTTACAGGTGTTAGTAGCTTAAATCCGCGCACGAATAATGGTATCCCGTAAGAAACAATCAATGGCCTAGTTTACCTACTGGCGTGAATGAAACTGAAAACATAGATCATTTGGGCGAAATGATAAATTTGACAGTAAAGAGGCCGACTTACCTGGGTGTGCTATACGGATCCGTGTAGTTTGCCAGTAAACCAACCACAGAAGGCTCTACATTAGGTAATGCCCCAAACAGGTGAAGCTGCTGGAAATTCAGACCTGGAGACGGGCGAGCCAAAGGATCTAAGGAGGATAGTGCATTTCCCAGCGGGTCCGATGTGCGCGATGTGGCAGGCATTGGATCATTCGATTGGCTATGTGGTATAACTTGATTCACATTAAAGTGAATCGTGCCACGTTTTGAAGCAGTTACTAATGATCGTCTAGTTCGAGAGCTTGTGGCCGACGAAGAATCCGGTCTTCGTGTAGTACCTTCTCCACCAGATGGGGAGGACTGTTCTTTCCCTGAGTTCAGGTGGACATCATCTTCCTCTGGATCACCCTCGAACAAGTAATAATCACCAGATCGTAGCACTGGATAAGGGAAGAGAGCCAACTGGAGAATGAGTGCGTATAAAAAAACAGATCTCTGAAGGGTGTGCAGTAAGGCAATTGAGTATGTTAGGAAATAACCATATGACGGGAAAAGAACAAAAATTTGTTAGGACACAGGGATGGGAAAATTACGCAGTGAATCCGACTAATATGTTCAAGAAATTCAACGCATATATATATATATATATATATATATATATATATATATACATATATATATATACGGGAGGAGAGGTGACACCATACAAGGTGAACTAATTTGGGTGTAAATGAGTTATGTTTTGAAATCGGAGTATTCTATGACACGGAGGCGCACGATGCATGATTAGGTAGTTACAGATCGCACCAAGAAACACTGACATAACGAACAAAGTGACCGGAAACAACGGCACATTCAACTTTAACTAACTTGTCACCATTATCCGTAAAGTCCTCATTTAAATAGAGGAGATTCAAAGAACAACTAAACAGCACAGGGAAACAAGTTAAAATTACATAGTAAATGCAGCAAAAGACGAAATGTAGATCACTCAGTTACCGACGAACCATACTTGACCAAAAACCACGTCGATGGAACATGAAGGAATTCATTAGTGTTGTGAGGTAC